GTGACATGAATAATAACAGAGTGAGTCTCAAGCCATGAGAGTTGGCAGGTATGTTTTCCTTGATTCATCACAGACGTCAGCACTCCTCTGTCAGCACACTAAAGAGAGACAGAAAACATCTTATTAACACATGGAGATTATCATGACGATGAATTAACAAGGGTAAAAGAATAAAACTATTATATGTATCAGAGACACTGAGTGCTGTACTGTAATAACTGAGCTGGTGTACACACAAACTACACCAGTATTAGAACATTACATCTGGTATTCAATGTAAGAAAAACAGGAATATATTTCCACAACAAATTGATGTAATGTAACTTACCCTCACTTGATCTCATTGTCCTGTTCTTCATGCTCCTTGCACTGCATACCTTGTCAGAAAAGAGACGGGTGTGCCCACACGGTGTGCAAACATTTGGTTCATTTCATTCATCACTTGGATGTTCCATGATGGAATGATCAGCGGTCACAATACTCACATAAGTTTCATGTTCAGGTAACATAAGAGATCTCCTGGCATAAATTATTCAATAGCAATATTAATTCATGTGGTGAAGAAGAGTATTTGATATAAGTAATTTTATTTGCATTGTTAAAGGATGATCAAGGAATCAGCCTCTGATCAACTGAACAATGTCATGTTCCTGCTTGAAGATCGTCTTTCACATAGACAATTTCACATAAATCAATGGCTTGTCTACTATTTGCATGTTCCTGTGTTAACAGACAAAGCTGTTTTTTTACCTCCACCATCAGGACCCTCTTTTGTGTTTCTAAGGTGGGTTGTGAGTCTTGATTGCAGCAATCTATACATCACATTAAACAAAGGTTGCCATTGTATTCTGTATTTTATCGGCCCGACACAACTCACAGAAAAGTCTCCAGGAACCTGCTGTTACTTCAGAGCTTGATTTTGAGCATTTGAACCAAAGAATGTTCTTATTGACAGTTGTTTCATCATATCCAAACTCCTGTCAGATTACCAAACAAGATAAGAAGTAGCTGGAGATGATACATTGCAAATGGAATTTCAAGGAGAATACTGGAAAAATTGCTGAGTTAAAGATAAAGTCATCAGAAACATGTTCCCCAATTTTTAATGCAAAAGTATTATTATTTAAATTTTAATTGTGAAACCATTTTCTGCTATCTCAGCTTTGGCCATTATGCATATTCCAATAGCAAGTCCGTGAACTCACATGACCTTTTACGCTCATGGCGTCACATGTGACTTATGTCAGCCATCATGAGTAAACCGCTTTTATTCTGATATTTTTTTGTAATTGGTAAGATGGGGTATTGTGTTGCCTGGGGTTGCCCTGGGTCATCAAACAATGGAAATAGGCACCACGGATGAGGTAAATAGTCTTCGATCAGCATAACCATTACTATAGACCGTTCATTTGGTACAAAAATAATTCATGTTCATTTCATAATATTCCATTTATACTACATCATTACATGTTACAACATACCATCATGAGATTTTTTAACATTGATTAATTCATGTCTGATTGTGATGAAATATATATTATTAAAATCAGTAAAAGATTTCCCATGAGCTTGAAAATGTTTTGCTATAACCTTCATTTCGGTTTGGAGCCCCAAATATTGCAGTCTACCAGAAAAAACAACCATTATCTATAAATACAATGGCAAATGATGACGTACCTGTCTCATTCATTGTATTCCCTTTTGACAAATTGTGCGTGTCAGCATCAGACTCGCTATTTGTCTATACTGTGTGCCGTTATAGTTGTTCTGTTTTCGCACTGGTTGACCTGAAGTCATTCTAAGGTAATGACCTAATTTAGCTGCGCTGCTTATATTATCTCCACTCAAGCAGACTGGGATCTTGTATGGAGACAAGATAATTTATTAATGAGAACTAGGATCCTAATTTGTTTCAGTAATTTTTAAAATAATTCCTTGCAACAGTGTAAGTTTTGCACCAGACATATTTCTATTTTCCTGTGTCTGAAGCATAATTTTTTAAAACATTTTCTGGGACAATCAATTTGTTTGTTTGTTTGTTTTAAAAATCACCAATTTAACACAAAAGGAACTGAAATCATATTGCAAATATTTTCTTAGGGATTGGTCATTTATTTATAGGGGTGGTTGTGCTGGTTTGACCTGTATCAGTTTTTGCTGGGAAATAAAATTGCTGATAAATTATATCGTCTATTTTAAAATTTATTCTGACTTCAAGTGGTGCCTCCATTTCGCTTGATTCTTTGCCTTCACTGGAAGTTTTTCTTGCCAGATGTAAAATAAACTTGTATTGATACGTTCTAACATACATGTAAAACATGACATCAGGAGCATCTGGTACTGCTTCAGAATCCATGGTCACTGTCAGGTTATCAAGTAAAATCAAAGACGAAGCCATAGGCACACATGACATCACATCACGCGATGCTCATTAACTCATTCTGCTCATTAACTGTTGGGTGTTTCCATAATAGGAAGAAATACAAGTACGTTTTTTACGTGTTTATTGTGATGTTAGAAACATTTTGTTCAATTTTAATCATGGTGACTTTTGGAATGCTTATACCCCTATGAAAAATACAACTTTTACTTAGTATTCTCCTTTAAGGAAGGCTGATATTGTCAGAAGAGTGAAAGCTATAGACATTGCTGAATTTCAGAATGCATTTACCTAATTATGACAGTATTGCTACATATCTACTTTTAATTATGATTGTGTTTAGGTTGACATACTCTGATATGGCTCGGAAGTAGTGTAACCTATTCTTGATGACTGACATCTACTTCATGAGGTTATCATGCAGTATGCCAAACATGAGGCATGTGCTACACCACAACGTGAGAGTGTATGAAAGATCAAGGTTGTGAAGGTGCTAGTGGGCTACTAAGCTGCTATATAATTGCATGAAAAGTAAGCATTACCAGGAATTAGCAGCTACTGCTGACCCACCCTGGTAACATACATAGTTACAAGAAAAGCTCCCATTGCTTGGCAACTACTGTGCTGCCAAAGGCAATCCCCAGCTACTGCTGCTGGCAAAGATAGCATAGGGGCCCAACTGGCAACAGCTGCTTTACCAGAGATAGCATAGGGGTCCAACTGGCAACAGCTGCTTTACCAGAGATAGCATAGGGGCCCAACTGGCAACAGCTGCTTTACCAGAGATAGCATAGGGGCCCAACTGGCAACAGCTGCTTTACCAGAGATAGCATAGGGGCCCAACTGGCAACAGCTGCTTTACCAGAGATAGCATAGAGGCCGAACTGGCAACAGCTGCTTTACCAGAGATAGCATAGAGCCAAACTGGCAACAGCTGCTTTACCAGAGATAGCATAGGGGCCCAACTGGCAATAGCTGCTTTACCAGAGATAGCATAGGGGCCCAACTGGCAACAGCTGCTTTACCAGAGATAGCATAGGGGCCCAACTGGCAACAGCTGCTTTACCAGAGATAGCATAGGGGCCGAACTGGCAATAGCTGCTTTACCAGAGATAGCATAGGGGCCCAACTGGCAATAGCTGCTTTACCAGAGATAGCATAGGGGCCCAACTGGCAACAGCTACTTTACCAGAGATAGCATAGGGGCCGAACTGGCAATAGCTGCTTTACCAGAGATAGCATAGGGGCCAAACTGGCAACAGCTGCTTTACCAGAGATAGCATAGGGGCCGAACTGGCAATAGCTGCTTTACCAGAGATAGCATAGGGGCCCAACTGGCAACAGCTGCTTTACCAGAGATAGCATAGGGGCCGAACTGGCAATAGCTGCTTTACCAGAGATAGCATAGGGGCCCAACTGGCAACAGCTACTTTACCAGAGATAGCATAGGGGCCGAACTGGCAATAGCTGCTTTACCAGAGATAGCATAGGGGCCAAACTGGCAACAGCTGCTTTACCAGAGATAGCATAGGGGCCCAACTGGCAATAGCTGCTTTACCAGAGATAGCATAGGGGCCCAACTGGCAACAGCTGCTTTACCAGAGATAGCATAGGGGCCGAACTGGCAATAGCTGCTTTACCAGAGATAGCATAGGGGCCCAACTGGCAACAGCTGCTTTACCAGAGATAGCATAGGGGCCAAACTGGCGACAGCTGCTTTACCAGAGATAGCATAGAGGCCGAACTGGCAACAGCTGCTTTACCAGAGATAGCATAGAGCCAAACTGGCAACAGCTGCTTTACCAGAGATAGCATAGGGGCCCAACTGGCAATAGCTGCTTTACCAGAGATAGCATAGGGGCCCAACTGGCAACAGCTGCTTTACCAGAGATAGCATAGGGGCCCAACTGGCAATAGCTGCTTTACCAGAGATAGCATAGGGGCCCAACTGGCAATAGCTGCTTTACCAGTCAGTTAAAGCATTGTGTCATCTTCTGCTACAGGCCCAAATGTCAACTATAGCTCATGGGCCAAAATGCATGGCAATTAGATGCCCACCGAAATCTATTCCATTGCTGAAAAGTCGTAAAAGACATGATGGTCCCACTGTAAAGGAGGCAACAACAGTAATTATCTGGAAGCAAGTCAATTTGTTACTATTGCAGGAAGCCGATTCTTACCATGCCAATGTCCTGAAGGTAAACTAGTGAATCTAAGGGAGATTCAAAGCAGGATCGAACTGTGACTGTCAAGTGTATGGCTCATAATTTAAGAAAGATAAAAAACTAGCAGAATTTTACAAAAATGGCTTTGCAGAATCAGACTATCTGTACAACTTTGGGGAATGCTTAGTGGCCTAGGCTACAGACAGCAGTCAGGTGAGACTAACCAGCTTTCTATTCCTGTTACTATCTATCTGTACCAGCTTCCAGCTATAGGAATCTGTGATTTAAACATTTAATCAGTGGATCTTCATTTCGTCTGAGGATTCATGACTGTAGAGCAGCTGCAGCACATTAGACCACTTGTACATACATAAACAGCTGATATAAACTCACTGTAGAGCAGCTGCAGCACATTAGACCACTTGTACATACATAAACAGCTGATATATACTCACTGTAGAAAAGACGTGTGCAGTAGGCCTGTATCTTACATCCCTGTTTATCATCTTCTCAACTGGATCAACAAGTTGAAGCGGCATTTTATGAGCAATTATTCCAAATAAATCATGCATCTGTAAAAAAACAACAACAAGTAAATCAGTTACCATGACAAACAATACTATCAATTAAGTAAGGATAAGACATAAGGTTGAATAACTTCATGAAAAGTTGGAGCACCACTTCAGTTTAGGTTCTAATATGTTATCAAGCAAATGAAGTGCAGAGTATGGAAGCACAGAGAAGCATATACACAAGTATCAGATAATGATATATTGGGGAGGTGGGAGGGACTGATCCAGATGAAACAGATGCAGTATTCTTAGAATTATACACAATGTTAACTACTGCTGGATAATTCCTTCAAATACATTACCTCTATCATGTACACTTTAGCAGCTTTTACACCAGAGGGAAAGTGGAATCTGGCATCTAATAATGTCACAATCTAATAATTCCAAGTAGTTAGAATAGAATAACCTTGGCACATAACCCTTTTATCTCTGCAGAATCAGTGAAGAGGAATGTCTTTTGAAAATCTTAAGATTCCACAGCATGAGGACAGTGATTACACAGCTATAATGGCTATGTGATAGAGGTTACGTGCATGTCCACTGAATGTGGTATACTGCTTCTGATGGCTCTTGCTGTTGGTTGAATGGTATTGTATTGGCTTTGACAGGACTTTAAATACTTTTACCTTTTTTGTAACTACCTCATTGTGTTTCTGGCTGAGGGTTCCACAGTAGGAACAAAACAAAGTTATTTCAACAAACCTCAAAGGCTTCAAAAACTCTAAGAAGCAGTCCACATCAAAAGACACCAAGGGTCAATCAACCACGACCTCATGCTTACCATCAAATGATCCAAGCTTCTAATTATTCATAATCCTTCTGTTTATTGTGGCTTCATCTGTTAAGAATTTTTAACTCATATCACTGTCATATCATACTACTGTACTGACTGAGTTTAGTTTTTACGCCGCTTTTAGCAATATTCCAACAATATCATGCCAGTGGACACCAGAAATGGGCTTCACACATTGTACCCATGTCGGGAATCAAACCCGGGTCTTCGGCGTGACGAGCGAACGCTTTAACCTCTAGGTTACCCCACAGCCCTCATACTACAGTAACTTTGCCCTGATCTGCTCATCTGCAGAAACACAACCTCATCATGTGTATATGCATCTCACCAACACTCATCACTTGCGTGATAATGGTAACAAAATAAATTTCACATCTAATTGTAATAAAGACGTTTTTCATCCATTCATCCATATCTTGTCCTTACTTTGTAATCCATCTTCTAAATGCCTTTTAAAAGAAGATATGATCAATGTACAAATAAAAAAAATCGAACCAAGTGAAAGGTTTTTAGACATACGCTTCACTGAATTCCGAAACATCACATTTTTCACAGTACATCTTGTTTCAGCTCAAACTGATGTGAAGCAGTTATGTTTTGGTAGTGGTAAATGCTAGGGGAAAATTTACATTTATTTTCTATGACAATGACAATACTTTATTACCTATGAGGGAATTCTTATGTAAAGTACATAGCTCAAATATTGATAAAATGATTAAATTATTTTCATACAATAAATAACATACATATAACCCGCTAACAAGGTAAGACAAACAGAAGGAATCATTTAAAAGATTAATATTGGCGGGAACAAAGGATTTCATAGCACGATTGGATTTAAAACGGGGTAAATTATAAAGGCGCCCAAAAGGCAGTAATTTATACTCATAGTGGATGGGATGATCTGGATCTTACTGGCTGACTTGAGAACTCTTTCTTCATAAATTTCATTTAGGTTAGCAAAAGATGCACCTGCAATTTTACTGGCTAATAAAACTATTCTGGTGACACAGTTTCTGTTTTTAAGGGACAAGGTTCCATACCAGCAATGTACAGAAAAAGCCAGAACGCTCTGTATAAAGACATATAATTCACTGATTAACATTGAAAGATCTCAATTTGCGCAAGAAGTGTAACCTTCGTTGACACTTCTTGAATATAGCATCTGTGTTTACATTAAAATTCAGTTTGTTATCAATATATGTACCAAGGTACTTGTATTCATTAACAGTTTCAACAGGTTCAGTGTTAATATTAACTGGCAACTTGGTGATCTGAAGTCAATAATAAGTTCCTTAGTTTTTTTCACATTCACTTGAAGATAATTATGTTCACACCGTAATACAAAGTCACTTATATCATCTCTATAATGCTGTTCATCCTCATTCTGTATGAGCCCCATCAGCGCTGCATCATCCGCAAACTTGACTGTTAGACAATTAGATTTGTGGCTGATGCAGTCATTGGTGTACAAGATAAATAATACAGGTGGTAGAACACAGCCCTGTGGCGCACCGGTATTTGTTGTCATATTAGATGATGTAGATGAATTCACTCTGACAAACTCATCATCCCATCATGCAGAACCAAAGGTTGAGCTCTTGCAGGTCCATGAGAGTATATGGTCACTAAAACCTGACATTGTTGATGATAATAATTGCTTTGTATAGCCCCTATTTCCAGCTATATGCAGCTGCTCAATGGTGTTTTACACATTAGAAGTCACTTTATTACAGTTCAATCAGTAGATGAGAAAAGAAATGTTTTGAGTTTTCTCTTAAAAGTTGGGAGAGAGTCACTGTTTCTGATGTCAAGGGGGGACGCGTTCCACAGGGCTGGAGCTGCAGCTGAGCAGGCTCGATCTCCAGCCTTTGTTGATGTTGATGGAACAACCAGTTGATCTTTCTGGGCAGAACGTAAGGTTCTAGATGGGTGGTAGACCGATAGCAGGTCCTTTAAATAAGCAGGCGATGACTCAACATAAAGAGCATTGTTTGTCAAGATGAGTAACTTGAAAGTGACCCGATGTCTAATGGACAACCAGTGTAAATCTCTGAGAATTGGCGTAATGTGAGAATCCTTTCTGGTCCTTTCTCTCTGTAAGTGAGAGATCACGCCAGATCCAAACACTAGAGAGTTACAGTAATTGAGTCTGTTTGTTACTTAAGGCTGAGTCAGAATTTTGCAAGTTTCGGTACTTTCAAGGTACTTTCGGAGTTTGCAGAAGTCAGCGATTTGAAAGTTTGCTGCTTTGGCTGTGTTGAGTGACTGATGTTTACCTGACATGGTTCTATCCATGACAACACCCAGGTTCTTGACAGTTGTAGCTGGAGCAACACAGACCTTGTCCACAGATAAGTTGATGGTATCTGGAATCTTGGCGAGCTGTTGTTGAGTACCAAACATAATGAATTCTGTTTTGTCCTTGTTAAGTTGCAAGTAATTAGCAGAAATCCAATCATGAATGTCACTGACGCAGTCTTGTATGCTGTGGATTCCTGTGCTAACATTCGATGGTCTAACCGCCATATACAACTGCTGATTGTCGGCATATCCATGGAAGTCCAAAGTGTGACCTTTGATGATGTTCCCCAGTAGCTGGATATAGCATGTGAACAAAACAGGACCTAACACGGATCCTTGTGGGACACCATGTTTGAGGACTTTCGGGGCTGATGTTACACCATCCACTTGCACACGCAAGGATCGGTTTCGCAAGTATGATTCGATCCAGGCAAGAATCTTGAGGCAAGAGATGCCGGATGTGTGTGTCTGTATTGACAGCAGGATGTTGTGACAAAGGCCATGGAGAGGTCTATGAGGACGAGAAGAACAATCTCCTTGTTTACGACCCGAAAGACAACCCCGACACCAACAAACAGCTACTTTCATCATTAGCCTTCCCTGTATAGGTTCAGCCAGTCACCAAATCAGCCGACTCTTAAAACACCTGGCCAACATTGATGTTGTGTTCCAAAGAGGCAAAACCTCACCTCACCTCACCTCACCTCGGCTCATCTCCAAGCCAATGGCAGAGCAACTAAAGAAGTTTACCACATACAATGTGACTGTGGTGACGCACACAAACCTTAATACCCCTCCCTGTAAGAATAAAAAACCCACCAAACCTCTGTGAGGAAGAAAGAGTCCAAATCTGCCATCTCTGACCACACCCAAACTCATCCACACTACATCCTTTGGAACAGCATCAATGTACTTACCCACTACTAGAAGTTGATACATATAATGAATTGTGAAAATCAATCATCATTAGCAGAATTTATTTTCAAGGCCTCAGCTGTGAGGCAGAAGTACCTCAGCACCTGATGGAAGGGAGATAACCCAACCTCATTCCACATTGATTACACAATGCCATTTAGAAAGTGGTCAAATGTAACATATGTTATATTTGGGATTACACTTTCTTAGTAAAGTACAGATTCTAGTACATTTGTTGGGTTGAGTCCCATCTGGGATTTGAACCCACACTCACAGAGTCAAGCACCTAATTGCCGGCATATAAAGGCAGCTGCCTAACCCGCTCAGCAGAAGTCTGATAGTGGAAGTTGCGGTGGCTGACTTTATCCATGAATCAATTCCAGGGCCTAGATTTTCAAAGCTCTCTTAGCGCTAAGACAGTCGTAAGTGCCATACATTAATATTAAATTACGACTATCTTAGCACTAAGAGAGCTTCGAAAATCTAGGCCCAGACTGCCAGTTTGAATGCTCGCACCATTGCCAACTTACGTGCAATCAGTTCCAGGACTTTACGGAACCGACTGAGGGAGCACAACAACCGTCCCTGCAATACGTCCAATTTTACCCTGTCATCGATATGCATGTCTTGCCTGGTGCAGACAGCATCTATGGTACACTGATGACACAAGATTTCATCTCGACAAGCTGAGATGGCAGGGCAAGGGTGAACAGATGGTGAATGGTATGCTGATGTGTGCATTGTTCAACAGTTTGACGGTGGAGCGTTATGGTATGGGGTATCATCACATTGCATATGGTTTGGCACAACTTGTCATTGTCAATGGCAATCTGACAGGTCTGCGATACTGGGATGAGGTCATTGGGCCTCATGTGCAGCCGTTCATTCATAGACAGAGACGTAACTTTCTGCTTCAGCATGATAATGGATATCCACATGTTGCTCATGTTGTGACTTCCGGAGACATCAGAACATTCCGGTACTCCCCTGGGCAGCCGTTTCTCCAAACCTGTCCCCTATTGAGCACGCTTGGGATGAAATGGAGTGACGTTTACATCAAGCCAGGATCCGCCATTGACGTTAGCTGAATTGGGAATAGCGTTGGTTCAGACATTGAACAACATTCCCCAAGCTTTCTTCAATCGCTTAGCGTTGTCTATGCATCATTGTTGTCAAGCCTGCATCAACACCAATGGTGGACACACAAGATACTGAATTTATGAACTGACGTTTGACACCACATTTCTTCAAGGGCGTGTCACGGTACCTTATTTCAAATCATACAGATTTTGATATTATCCTGTCAACAGTTAAACAGTGATTAAGGAACACCACAAATCATCAGACAAAACACTGCTTATCAACCAAGTGAAAACATCCACATCAGGAACAGCAGATAAGGTGAATCCATAACACCACTCATTTATGTGCTAATTCATGTAAAAGTCAAAAGTTTTGCCTCATCATTGTCAGCATGGTCAGTGAAACTATGATAGGCTTGCACTGGTTGATAGACTCACACCCCTGCCTTAACGCCTTATATAGAATAAGCAATATTGTCCTTCAGTTTTATGATTGAATAACGAATATTATACTGTATGTTTGGTTCATTATTTCATTCTATGAATTTAGACTATCAGTCACACATGACGATCAGTCATGTGATGAAATTGGTTTGGGTAGTTTATTCAGGACTTGGGTGGTAAAAATTATTTACCCACCCTGAGTACAGGTAACCCATCCCAGGTATGCCAGGTAATGCTGTTATCCTGATGGATGTGCTGTCTGAAGTATGAGTGAAGCTCAGGCCATGGCTAATAGAAAATCTGCCTTCTGTGTTCTTTGTTGGAGGGTAATCTGTTTGTGGGTTCATACATTTCATAAAGGAGTGCTGAAAGTACCACCAAAACATCCATCTTTAGAACGATCCCACTCTGTCACACATTCTCCAACTGGAAAACTATCATGAATCTGTTTAAATCTGCATAGACACAAACTCAAAGTTTGTCCTGATTCAGGACTCAAGCTCACATAATAGTTGCTCCATTTTCTGCAGGAATTCTGCAATGAATGTGTAGGCAGTCAGGTCCAACCCATAGTGAGAACATCGATCAGTAGACACTTGTCATTGAAGATCAGGAGTGAAATGATACACCGTGACTTCACCATCTTCTTTGAGGTACTACATAGAATTGCTCTAACAATAACTGCTGAAATGTAATCCACACGAGCCACGGGCAGGTATCCTCTTTTGTCCTCAACACCTTGGTCTGTTTACAAAGTGACCAGCAAATCCCTTGAAATGACTTATAATAATAATAGTGCATTTATATAGCGCTAATACTCCACGCTCAGTGCATGCTCGAAGCGCACAGTTAAAGTCTAGCTAAGGAATGCTCTTTTAAACAGATGGGGATGATGTATGGTAATGTATGTATGTTAAATACACTGAAGACATAGCAAATTTGTGAATGATTTGATGATCTGAATCATTACTTCACTTTACTAATTTTTCATGGTCACAAATTAAGGTGCCCAAAATTCAAAACCAGAAAGGCCCATACATTGTTATTCCCAGCATTCCATTTCTTACAACTCAAGTTCTTGTTTCTGATAAATATAGTCCTTATTTAAAGGAAATACTACTGGTTTATTCTCGGGCAGCTTTTCAAATTTGTATTGCTAGAATATACCTTCATAATATGTACTCATTTGTTTCTAGTTACATTTAATGTATACTTATTTGTGCCATGTGTCTTATCATCCTGATTCCCGTTACAAGTAATCAAGAATTGTCATGTCTCTTATCAGAACAAGTAAGTCAACTGAAACTGTTACTATTCATGTCTTTGGATGTTTTATTAGAAATTTAACAGTTTCATTGACCAAGTTTATTCTCCCCTGTTCATTTGCCTGAAACAATATGAGGTAGAGTTGTACTACACATAATGCAACTGAATTATTATTTTCAGTTAAACGGATCTGTAATAAAAGGAAACAGTCATCAACATCTAGCATTAAATCAAACAAAAATTATCTTTGTGAAAAATATTATCCCTATTTTGTTACTAGTATTATCATAATCCTGCAGTTTGGTTGTCATCGCACAATAACTGAATCTTTAGATAATCAACATGAGCCTTCTTCACTGTCAGCTATCAATCAGGTTTGCCTGGTAATAGCATATCACTGCTCAGATATCTTGTTCATGCACTACGTTACAATATGAGCTTACTGGAGGTAAGGAGGTGGGAGCGAATACTCCTTATGTAAACAGAGATAATATTATTGGAATTATTGACAATGATAACTGTCCTTGATAATTTCTATGATTACAAAGCCTCTATTACATCATTGCCAGAGTGTACCAGAGAGACTGGTCAGTTCTGGTATCTTGTATGGTTAACAGCTGTTGGCACCCATTAGATTCAGTTGTCTTTAACTGGTGCTTCAATCACTTTTTTGTAGTCATGGAACTGAACCACCTCAAAAGCACTAAATTCAAATGTTTGCGCATCTTGAATAAAAATAGGTTATAACTTGCAATTAACTACCATTATATTTGCATCCATTTCCTACACGTTACATCATCAGAGATTTGACAAGCAACTTATCGCTCCAGATCATTGTGTCTACTTCTGATGAGATCCCTTTCACTCTTCATACTTCATGTCCAGTACTGAGGTGGTCACTCTGGTTAAGATATCACTTCCAGTAATGATCAATATCGCTTCCTGTGGTCTTTACATCAATCCTGATTCCTTCACTTAACCTATTATCTGTCCACCACAGACAGTCAAGGAGCATTGTGTATGTACAGGGCATGTACATCTGACCAGCAACATGCTATTACAGGTAGTACTGACTATCGATGGTGGACTTTTGTTGGAAATAGGAAGATTAGTTATAGTGTGATGACAGCTAAACTTAAGGATTATTTTGCCATTATGTTATAATTGTTTTGCATTCATGGGAATTTCATTTTTTACTAGTTTAAAGACAGGAGTTTACCACACTGAATGATGAGATGGCCCCAATCTGTACATCAAGTAGAAGTGATTTGACTTGGTAGCAAGTCCATATATTTGGATTAAAAGATATAAAAAGGTAAAAGCAAATTAAAACCTCCTAAGATGGTAATCTCTTCAGAGCTTTATAATAGTACCATGAAAAAATAAATAGTTATTAGTCCTACCTGATCAAGCTGTCTCACATACTGGCTTGGTGTGTGTTCTGCTCCAATAAGTGAATTCCCATCACTGTAAACAGCACAGATAACCATTCCCAAAGAAAACATATCACTGAGATAATTACATGTCTTGTCAAGCTGGATCTCTGGAGCAACATAATTTAGATCTGGCTGTGCCATCTTTGGTATTTTAACTGTCCACGGCTGACATGGAAATGAATCCTGAAATGACAAGAAAAATACACAAAATAACAAATAAATTATGTGACAACCTTTAAACAACTCAGTGTGTTATGTAACTCAGAACCTGTACCTGCAACTCACTGTCTTGAACACATGAAGTGACAGATAGGGGCATCAGGCTCAATACATTCCTACATGGAGTGACAGATAGGGGCATCAGGCTCAATACATTCCTACATGGAGTGACAGATAGGGGCATCAGGCTCAATACATTCCTACATGGAGTGACAGATAGGGGCATCAGGCTCAATACATTCCTACATGAAGTGACAGATAGGGGCATCAGGCTCAATACATTCCTACATGGAGTGACAGATAGGGGCATCAGGCTCAATACATTCCTACATAGAGTGACAGATAGGGGCATCAGGCTCAATACATTCCTACATGGAGTGACAGATAGGGGCATCAGGCTCAATACATTCCTACATGGAGTGATAGATAGGGGCATCAGGCTCAATACATTCCTACATGAAGTGACAGATAGGGCATCAGGCTCAATACATTCCTACATGGAGTGACAGATAGGGGCATCAGGCTCAATACATTCCTACATGGAGTGACAGATAGGGCATCAGGCTCAATACATTCCTACATGGAGGACAGATAGGGCATCAGGCTCAATACATTCCTACATGGAGTGACAGATAGGGGCATCAGGCTCAATACATTCCTACATGGAGTGACAGATAGGGGCATCAGGCTCAATACATTCCTACATGGAGTGACAGATAGGGGCATCAGGCTCAATACATTCCTACATGGAGTGACAGATAGGGGCATCAGGCTCAATACATTCCTACATGGAGTGACAGATGGGGACACCAGACTCAATGCATTCCCTTGCTCACTGAGGACTGAGAGACAGATGTTTAGTTCAACTATAGTAACCTATTTGTTTGATCAAGTGGAGTTACCTCATATTTTGCATTACTACATCAAGATACTTTCCTGCATAAAAATCTTCTGTTAGATTTATTTTCACCAGAGGTGAAATTTCAGTATAATAGAATGTTGCCAAACGGCCACTGTGTAGATTTATACTTCAACCGCATCTACTAGTCCAAAGAGCTGTCCTCTGTAGCATTAACAAACTGTCATGTCAGCAGTGTTACAGTACCAGATATTTACCAGTGTCAGATGCTGCAATGACAACAGAATTCCTATGATCCTATCCCTCATCCTAGCAACCTTTAAACAGGAACTAGTTACTGGCAGTTTTAGTAAGTCTGATTCAAGTCATCGAAACTCATCTTTCTCTGTCTGCTAACTTAAATATTATGGTGACACATCTAACACTAACAATTAATGATTACCACACGTACAAAGCGTTAATATCCAGTTTGGGAAGGATTTCAAATCTTTACACATTCATTCACCTGGATGACAGGCTGTATCATGCCCTACTCTTGTCCGACCTATTGATTGGTTTTCTTATTTGCAGATGAGTAGTATTATCTCAGATGACATTTGGGACAAGATCTCATGGAAACCAGGAAACCAAACCAAACAAATAATTTTGTTCATAAGTGTTATGAGGAAATATAATATGTCTGAGTGGCATTATAGAAGCTGTAGTGTCTGTATTGGAGGCAAGGGACAGACAACTGGATTGGGCTTGGTTACAGGGTGTCGAATATTTACACCTTGGGACTAATGAAAACAACAGAAACAACAACGATGACCTAGGACAAAATCTTGGATTGAAGGCCACAACAACCAGATAGTTGGATGGTTGAAGTTTCTTTTTTCACAAATCTATGATATTTAGTTAAATATCAAGGTCATCATCCCACAAACAATATGTGCTGCAGGAATGTGAGCTCATTTTGTGTAATAATAATAGTAATAATAATAATAATAATAATACATTTATGAAGTGAAGCAATTCTCAGTTAGGATGGGCTCTGTGCACACAAGTTAATAATGAAATTTCTGGAATCATGCATCAGTGATCCGAATACCCAACCATAACTGTGGCAGTAACAGATTTTGTATATTTTAACATGTTGTAAATTGATTAGAATTCATGTAAATAAATGCTTTAAATTTCATTGCACAGCTTTAGTCATTTTATTTTATCATGATACTTAGCCTGCCTTAACTAACTATCACTCACAGCCAGTTCACTGAGCATGCTTACCGCATGTTCACCACACAGCACAATAACATAAGCCCTTCCCCACCTACGTTCTTTTGTCTTTATAGCCAGCTTGGGCAATCAGCGTAGCTTTACACTTTTACACATTACTAGTTTTGTGGTCACTCCACATTCAATCGTCAGTGTGTCAACATGTCTTGTTGATTTTCTGGACATACCTTTGGATCATATCTTTGGATCACATTCTAAGGTAATTTAGATATTTTATCTATTTATTGTTCATGTATATCATTTGTAGATATAACTTGTAGTTGTATCAGTGTGTGTTAGTCTTAAATGCATAGTACTGTGAATTTGGTGATAAATACTCTACATTCATTATAATGTAATATTAGTAACATGATTAATAAAAGGCAAGGTTAACTATGTGAGCATGTGATGAATGGATGAACACAAGTATAACTTGGTAATCATAAATGGGTAAATGAAAATAAGCACGAATGAATGAATGAATGAGGTCTTATTTTCATTGTTTTATATCTTGCTCAGCTACAGCCACATTTGTGTTTGATTACTGCATTATTGCTGGGAATGCTTTTGTATATGTTCATTATTAGCATGACTGTACATATTTATTATTTTCTCTACAGACGAACATTTCATACAGACACAGCAGCGTCCCCAGGTGTGAAATAAACCTAGGCCCACACACCTGGTAGCTTTATATATTGTTAATATGTCATGTATATCAAATGAAATACATTTTGTACACAGTAATTGTTTACTGAAGCAACTGTTTTGTAATGTTATAGCATATGTACGAATTATATGCGTATATCCAGCAATGAATATAAGCTGCTTCAATTGAAACAATACCTATCTGGAGAAGTAGCTCAGCTTACTGCAAAAGTAGAGCATAGTGCTGCTGTTTATGATATTGCCTCAGAATGGCTTGAAAGAAAATATGGGGGCAAAGAAGACCGATTGCTGTACAGTTAACCACAGTTGACCACTGTAGAAAGTGGTCAACAGCAACATGTCACCCCTGGGATCACATTTTCTCAGTAAATTACAGATTCTGATGATCAACAGCATAGCATTTACACTATTTATACAAAACCCTTTTTTCTGTTCTTAATTTATTCTTTTTCTATTCTATTTGTATTCCTACCTTATTCTCTTTATTCTCTTCAAGGAATCCCATTCCACCAAGTCTCCAACAACCCCGTCTCGTCACCAGTATGGATTGAGGGCAGATATTACGATGCAGTTTGTGTTCAGAGTAGTGTAAAAAGGACAAGGCCTCTGTAATCTGCACAGAATAAAAAGGCACTATAAATTTTATGTCCACAAAACATATATTCATCACAAAATTTAATTCATATGATTCATAATCATTGTGTGGATACGGCTATTGGTCTCTACTAGTTTATAGGAATGGACACTTTCTTCATCTGTTCAAAAGACGGACAATGATTGCAGGATTAGAAAAACTCATGATGTGTTTGAGGCAACGTTACAGTTAGCTTCAAGAGGACCATGACCCTATTATGCAACATAATCGAAGAACATGCCAGTGATAGTGCTCATTAAGAAAGATATCTGTGAAAGGCCCATACCATCAATGATTTGGACATAACATATAGAATTCCTGCTCCCCTTGATCTCTGGCTTTAAGATACACAACGCTTTCATTGCTAAACATACAGTGGGCAATTCCCAGGCAACACTCAATCAGAAGAGATACTGGGGCCATGGAACTAACAATGCATGTTATATACTAACTTGCATCTCCCATCCTGTATGGGTAATAAAACACAAATAACATGTGTGTTAAGTGCCCTAACTACACATTTACAAAATACACTTGGAACAAAACTGGCTGTAACGATTTTCAGCTTTCAGTATGCAAAACTCGAATTGAGAACAAATCGTATACCGTAATACTGAAAATAGCTACCTGCACATGCAGGAAATTTTACAACATTTTAAATAATATTGATATTAAATGGTTTTCAAATCCTGTTTGACCATGTTTTCCGCTACAATCAGATTGTAGCAGGTACTCCTATTCATATGATTATAGTCAATATTTATTCTGATCACCATTTGTTATCATCATTTTGAAGATCACTTGAAGTCGGTCTCTCTGTAACTTATATATAAGTCCAGGGGAGAACTTGTCCTGTTAAGACCTTGACTGACAGAAAGAACCACCAAATTTCTATCTGAGCTCACTGCAAATATATTTAGCTACCGGTATTTGGAAGATTGCATTTTCTTTGAGAGTGTTAAAGAGCATCTCCTACCTGCATTAAGCCATACTTTATTTCTGCCTCAATGAAGTCATGATCCTGAAATGAAAGAGAAGCATTATGAAATTTCATGTTTGAATTGAGTCTATTTGTGCCTCCATCCATCCAGTGATGTAGATGCTGTGGCCTCACAGTAGTGACAGTGCTGCAGGATAGTACTGTGGAACTACATATTGGTCTTTAGGCCAGACCAATTATATTTCTTGTTTTACAGATTTTTGTCCACAGAAATCTTAAAGGCAGGAGGGAAACAAAATAAAAATAGAAATCACCAGTCTAAATAATATTCCTTTTAAATACTCATAGTGTTCAGATTTCATCAGGAAGTAATTGAGCAGTGTAAAAATCTAAAGAACTTTGCCATTGTGACAGATACAATTTTGGTGTTTCAACTGGATTAAATTGAAAATGTCTGTTGATTCAACAAAATGTTGTATAGAATTACTGTTATACTATCACCTGGTGTTAAGTAGCTGTTAGACATAGGTAAATACAATTATTCCGTTCAGAAGGCCTCCGGTTGTAAAACATCTGCTGTAAGCTTCTAGGACAAGTCATACTGCCTGAAGTTTTGTTGGAGTCCAACATGTCGTAATGCTAAGATAGCATTTCTTACAGTTACAACAACCTTGCTGATATCATCGTCACAAAGTAATTGTTTTATAAGTATTTCTTAATGCTCTTGAATTTGATAACAATTTTAATTGTGTTCGAAGCAAGCCCTCTGATTGGTCAACGCTTGCAAATCTGCACATTCTTTGTATATTCGCTGGAATTTTTCCTTTCATCGACAGCTTAATGTAAGAATATTTTTCGAGCAATGACTTCTCAAATCTTAATCTTTCATCTTCCCGATCCTCTCAGTCTTGAGCCAGGAGTATAAACACTGTCTTACAATTACTGCATACTGTGTCTCCCCATCCTCTCAGTCTTGAGCCAGGACTATAAACACTGTCTTACAAGTACTGCATACTGTGTCTCCCCATCCTCTCAGTCTTGAGCCAGGACTATAAACACTGTCTTACAAGTACTGCATACTGTGTCTCCCCATCCTCTCAGTCTTGAGCCAGGACTATAAATACTGTCTTACAAGTACTGCATACTGTGTCTCCCCATCCTCTCAGTCTTGAGCCAGGAATATAAACACTGTCTTACAAGTGCTGTAAATGTGCAGTGTGAACACACATGTATGTAGGTGTGGCTGCAGATTGCCAGAATGTAGCAGTAAGTTCACTAGTCTGTCAGTTGTAAGGGTTGGACCACTTCTAACTGCATTAGACATTTGTATCAGCTGCTGGATTTAATGTCATCTTTATACATTGGCGGATCCAGAAGAGGGGTTCAGGGGGTTCGACACCCTGACAGGAGGCAACTTGAGCATGTGAAATAGGCTCAGTATAAATTGGTGGACCACCCACAGGTAATGACAATCATAGTGAAAATGGAGATACCTGCTGTGGATTGGGTGGACATGACAGGATCTACAGATGGAGGATGTAGTTGGCTGCTACACTCATAGACTGCAGTCAGAGCACAGGTTAACAAGAGGACAAAGTCATCAATATGCCCCGCAATGGTAAATTACTCGTCATGAATATGTCAACTAGTTATCACTCTGTCAAATGTTAGACCTGTGAAGGTCAGGGTTAGAATATTGACCTTCAGTAACTCATGCTTGTCGTAAGAGGCCACTAACGGGATCGGGTGGTCAGGCTCACTGACTTGGTTGACACATGTCATCGTTTCCCAATTGCGCAGATGGATGCTCATGCTGTTGATCACTGGATTGTCTGGTCCAGACTCGATTATTTACAGGCCGTTGCCATATAGCTGGAATATTGCTGGGTGCGGCTTAAAACTAAACTCACTGTCAAATGTTACATTGTTCTTCAGACTGATCTGTTTTTTGCCCCATATATACTTCATAAATTGCCAAAAGTAAAATACTTTTAGTATTTAAAAGGAATATTACTTTAACTGGTGATTTTTATTTTTATTTGTTTTTCCTCCTGCCTTTAGGTTTTCTGAGGACAAGAATCTGTAAAACAAGACATAAAATTGGTTTGGCCTTATATAGAAATCCAAAAACTACCAAAAGGCCCCATTTCACTACCAGACCTATGTATGTGCCAAGTTTGGTGAAGAAATATTGAATGGATTTTATGTTGCACGGACAGACCGAGTCCAAAATAATACCCCCGCAAAAGGCGTTGCAGGGGATAATGACAGGACCACTGAATGTTGGTCCAACTTGCAATAATATATCAGTTAATCAGGGTTATATGACCAGGCACTTGGTGAACATTAATATCCAATGCTGAGGTAGCCAGATATCCTTGAAACAGGAGAATGCAGTATTTACTGTATGCTAAGGTATAAATTCAATTTTGCAATACTTCAACACCACAAAATATGTTGTAAATGTCCTTTTCTGAAACCATTTCAGCTTGAAAGTGAAGTTTATGGATGTAAACATCTGTAATATCAAGAACACAAGGACCTATCTAGGATTCTAGTCATTTTTGGAATTTTGATTTTACTTTTTTTTAAATTGTGTTCTTATTTTATTACATTCAGAGGTAATCTAAACTTGTATTTTGTGATTGCATTCATTTCAATGTTATAAGTTTTAGCTTTAAAACTTCTTCCTCTTCATTTGTCCTGTTATTGATGAGATACAGGTTACCCCTGCCAAAACATAATTTTTTTTATCATAAGCATGACTAGGGGATATGTATAATTGTAATTGGGAATTTTTTATTTTTCTACATTCTGTCTTGATTTATGAACTGAGAATGTGATATTGCAACCATAGAAATACCTACCCATGTTTTATGAAAATATTGAACTATGAAAAAATACATTCATAAATTTTGGTCTAGATTTAGTGACTTCATAATTGTGGAAATTGAAATAACAAATATAAACAGTATTTCCTTATGATATAACACCTAAATGTATGATTTGCCAATGGTTGTCAATGAGACATTGTTTAATACGCAGCTGTTCGGGGAATTTTTGTAAAAACAATTTTTTTGGGGGGTGGTAAATCCTATATATATCCTAGAAGTATTGGTTTTCCTACAATAAGTAAATATCTACATAAGTGTTGTAAAGAATGCATGGCAGGGAAATAAGAATATCAAATATTTCGAGAGAGCAGTTGTTAAATACTTATTCACAGTATATTAATGATATAACCCTATTGCGTTGATAAATATTTTTTTTAAAGTGAGCTTTTGAAACAAATTTGCAATGCCTCTGCATGTGTATATCCCTATTTGATGAATACTTATATATGTTAAAAATGCATAATCAAATTTAGATTTATGGATGAGAAAGAAACTTGATTTTACATGTTAACTTGTATCTAATTGTAGATTACTTTAATGATAAACTAAGACAAAATCACTCCATGACCGAAAAGAAATATAAGTATGTTGAGCTCTGCGATTGGGCATGACAGACTCTACGGCAACGGCATATGCCAAGGGAAACCACTCCCATCTTGTGTATAAACTAAAATTATCTGCTCTTGAGTTAATGAAAAGGTCACGGCCATTGTTAATCGCACGCTAACACCATTCGCTATTATCCCTTTCTTGATTATCAAAAAGTTATGTTGTTTCACACTTATTCCAACATTGAATCGGGTGGGACTAGTACTATGTGATATCGACCCGATAGTGATGTGTTTCACTACAGCAAATAACAATATCCGACATTAAATCGGTTGTGCATTCTCCGTGTTGTTGAAGTGTTGAGGCGAACTACACAGTTTTGTGCAATATAAATGCAATCTCCAAACGTAAAGCTGATTATTTGCATGAAACAGACACTAACTTGAACTTGTGTACTTTGCAGGCTTCATTTGTTAACGTGTTCATCTAAGCCCCTTGTTGTTATTGTGTCTGGCTTCCTAATCCCCATTGTACTGTACAAACATCTGCTCTTACTTGTGTTTATGCTCCTTCATCCTTTTGCTATTCATCACTTGCTTGATAACGGTGTTAGAAGTTACACCGAAACGTCGCTCTCACAGCAATAAAGAAGTTGTTCATCCATATATTGTTATCCTTCCTTACTGCTCCAACTTCTAAATGCCTCTCAAAGAAGTTACTAGCTTGAACACCATTTTGTAACAGACTACAATGATCTTAGCTCCTTACAACTGGTCCGGACCAAGTATAAGTTGCGATTGTAGCTTACAATGATCTTAGCCAACAATCGCTTTGTGCAAGTGGATGGCGATTGTAGCCGAAGCCTAAGATCGCGATCTTAAGGATTTACAATAATTGTAGCACTAAGATCGTTCTGTGCAAGTGGGCCCAGGTACAACTCTCACATTGATTGATACTTTCAAATACAGCTGATGATACTAATCATTGATAACAATACTTCAACATTCCATGTATGTATTGTCATCACCTCAGTGACAGTGTGTGAACAGTTTGATAAATTGTTACACAGCAAGTCATGAAAGACAAACTAAATATGCAATCACTTTGATTTGGTGTCAAAGATATTTGGTACACATATTTCACTCACCTTTAACTCTTGAGATACAGGTGCCGTGATTCGTTCATAGTTTCCGAGAACATTTGCTAAACTTCCTATGACTGGTTCCGTAGCAAATGCCAAACTGTCACTGAAATAAATAAATATCTGTGCTATTCTGTATGACCTGTGCTTAAATGTATGACCAAATGATGTGTCATATGTCCTACAATAATGCTGCTGGATTAATGTTAAAAGTGAGAAAAATCTGTTATCTGTGTGCAAGAAACAGTGCTCTTCTATTGTTTATCATAATGAGGAAATGTAAAACAATGCCATGCTGATCTACTGACAAGGTCAAAACATCTATTAATTATATTCATTTAAAGTGCTCACAGAGCCAGAATTGTTCAAATACACCTTAATCAAACAGTATTTGTTACATATTTATTGGCTTGAAACAAGCAGAACCTCCATTATAGTCCCTGCTCAGATGCTATGTTTCAGCAACTCATGATGCATTGGGCAGGAGAAGAATGAAGTATAATAAGGGTCCTTTTGGATCACTTAAAGGACAAGGAATAGGATTCATTTGAGTTTTGCAAATTTTGGATTTATACCATGTCAAGTACAGCTTACATAAGGGGACAAGATAAAACATTTAACAGGAAGGAAGCTCAAAGAACTTTATCACACATTTTATAGTTGAAATATGGTGCAGGTAGTACATGTTTAATATTTAGAAAGTTCCGAGTTGGTATGCGAAAGGATGTACACTGGATCACATACGACCTTTTCTAGATACGCTTATGTCAACCTGTGTCCAACCTCAGGTGTTTTTGCTCACTTTGTCACCTGGGTCATATGCACTCAAAAGTTTTTTAATATCCCAGGTATGCTTCCAAAAAGGGCAAGACAAATCCCCTGATGTAAACACATGTAAACATATTAGACCAACAGAGATATAAAAGACAAATATTCATGGTAAAAAAATAAACAGAGACTGATGTATTGTTAGATGTGAAAATTGCTGTGAACCAAGTGCAGAGTGTCACAAAATAAGGAAATGCACCTACTGGCACTCCTCAACTCCATGCATTACTGACAGTATATTGGGATGGCGGACATGTTCCAGTTGATTAACTTCTTTCCGCAGAATTTCAGACACTGTCTCACGCCGCCGGGGTTTGTGAAGTTTGTCTGCAATCTTTTTCTCAAAAAGAAAGACAGATGCTTCCTTAATAAAACAAAAGAAAAAGACATTATTAAAACCAATTAGAAACAAAATTACTTTGACAACATAAGCTACTCTATTATGTTCTTGTTGTGACTCTATATTGTGACATTAGTAGAATAACCTACAGTGCAACTAGATAGATCTTTTCATTACATGCAAAAAAAGATGACACCGCACCTTTCCTGAATTATAAAACTTTCATTCAGAAGATGTACAGTGAACCATTTAGACTTGACCAACAGCTGACCTGATCAATATCTATTTCTATTCTTCCCATGTTGTCTAATGCAGCACAACATCGTCCAGTGCATCAAACCTAATAGCAGTTAGAGACACAGCCTGTTTAGTGACATCACTTCCGTAGCTGTACGGAGAAAGCGTAATCCCAAATATAAGTTACCGGTATGTTACAAACCTGATGAGTTCTAATGGTTGGTGTGAGAAGGTCATACTCAGTCATTAAATGAAAGAAACATCCCACCCCAACTTAGTCAAGCTGGCACCACTATAATTATCCCGTATAATCACCACATTCCACTTAGCATCAGCAACCCAACCAACTGGGCATACAACAAGCCAGGGGAACCTTACTGACACCAAGGTGGAATCTTCACATTTGATAGGATGAAGCTTATTGACACCTTCCAAATATGTCTGAGTGTAAATATGTTTGTAAATTTTGCAGTTTAGCATACAGCAAAGAGATCATGTAATATTTTCTTAACTTAAAACAGCGATTTATAATGATACATTGTTACAAACACACTTGACATAGAACAAGTCTTAAATATCTTCAAATGTGTAGGACTTTTTATCACTGTGTGGATATTTATGAATACATTCCTAAGTCAAAATAACTTACTTTCAATGCCAGACATTGGTGTATGTTCCTGTGGTTTCATTTCAAAACCACATATGTGTAGGTTGAAACATTTAGGTTTATTCATTTCCTGCAGCAAAGACATGGGAGGCCTCAATGGTGAATGGGTGTTTTAACCAAAACAACAACAAAACTGGAATAAACTTTGTTATCACACAATAATTTATGTGGGCATGTCAAGGGCCACAATTCAGATTTTCCTGTGCATTATATGATGTCGATTAATAGCGTCATGATTTCATGTTGTTAATAAGTTGACAGTCACAGCTTGACTCCTATTTTGCACTCAGTGACAGTTCATAGAGAGTGGTAGTGGACTGTTCTTCATGGCATGACATGGATGATTTGCTGTTGGGCAAATAGGGTCACACTCATGGCATGACATGGATGATTAGCTGCTGGGCAAATAGGGTCACACTCATGGCATAATGAGCATTTGCATGATCATCTTCAGAGATATAGTGTTGCTTAACATACACTGATGTTTTCCTGATAGTACTGACCCATGACTCTGCCATGGACAATACGGAGTGCAGTTCTGACAGTTAGTTAGATGCCATCCCTCAGATGACCAGCAGTAGGTTGTGGCTTGTGGATGTTGTGACAGTTAGTTAGATGCCATCACTCAGATGACCAGCAGTAGGTTGTGGCTTGTGGATGTTGTGACAGTTAGTTAGGTGCCATCCCTCAGATGACCAGCAGTAGGTTGTGGCTTGTGGATGTTGTGACAGTTAGTTAGATGCCATCACTCAGATGACCAGCAGTAGGTTGAGGCTTGTGGATGTTGTGACAGTTAGTTAGATGCCATCCCTCAGATGACCAGCAGTAGGTTGAGGCTGGTTGTTTTTGAGACAGTTAGTTAGATGCCATCCCTCAGATGACCAGCAGTAGGTTGAGGCTTGTGGATGTTGTGGCAGTTAGTTAGATGCCATCCCTCAGATGACCAGCAGTAGGTTGTGGCTTGTGGATGTTGTGACAGTTAGTTAGATGCCATCCCTCAGATGACCAGCAGTAGGTTGAGGCTTGTGGATGTTGTGGCAGTTAGTTAGATGCCATCCCTCAGATGACCAGCAGTAGGTTGTGGCTTGTGGATGTTGTGACAGTTAGTTAGATGCCATCCCTCAGATGACCAGCAGTAGGTTGTGGCTTGTGGATGTTCTGACAGTTAGTTAGATGCCATCACTCAGATGACCAGCAGTAGGTTGTGGCTTGTGGATGTTGTGACAGTTAGTTAGGTGCCATCACTCAGATGACCAGCAGTAGGTTGTGGCTTGTGGATGTTGTGACAGTTAGTTAGATGCCATCCCTCAGATGACCAGCAGTAGGTTGAGGCTTGTGGGTGTTCTGACAGTTAGTTAGATGCCATCACTCAGATGACCAGCAGTAGGTTGTGGCTTGTGGATGTTGTGACAGTTAGTTAGATGCCATCACTCAGATGACCAGCAGTAGGTTGAGGCTTGTGGATGTTGTGACAGTTAGTTAGATGCCATCACTCAGATGACCAGCAGTAGGTTGTGGCTTGTGGATGTTGTGACAGTTAGTTAGATGCCATCCCTCAGATGACCAGCAGTAGGCTGTGGCTTGTGGATGTTGTGCACCACATACAATGTCACTCCATGGTGCTGCCATGTGCTCTTACACCAGTTGTCTTGATGATCAGCCTGATGTACACATCACATGATCAGCACAGTTACTTCCTTACTGACGAAAAGTGTTTAATTAAGTGTCTTTAAGCATTTGATTCTTTGGAAATAATATGGGTCTGCACGTGGCTGAGTTGGAGTGACTGGTCAGTCAAGCACATCACCCTTTGCAGGTGCTGCCTGAGGTCATGTGCTTCATGATTGTCACAGTGTTGTGTTTGGGAGCTTGATTTCTTTGGAAATGTTCTTGCCACAAAAAATATTTACTTTCGGTGACAGACATCGGTGCATGTTCCTGTAATTTTATTTGCAAATGATATTTATGATGGGAGAAGTATATTGCCTCACATTTGCTTTTAGATTCGGCATTCAAAGACATCACTTCCCTTCCCATGGCATCAGTTTGTTTGCCTCTTTATGGTAGTAGTGGTGAACAATACTTGTATCTTTAGACTAACATATATATAGGTATACATTACCTCTTCGTTTGTATGTGTGTGTGTGTGTGTGTGTGTATAAATATGATGTCACATTTGTTTCCTATAATAACTGCATATGTCTGACACATTACTGAGAACTGCTTTCCCCAATGACATTATTTTCATGTCACATGTACAGTGTTACATGAGAGATTAACAGGTAGTTGTGTATATCATCCAGGTTCTTTAATTAAAGAGGTCTCCATCTTATAAACCAACCATGTTGTCTTTGGCAATGCCAGAACTATCACTATAATTCACAATCTGTGTCCTCTATTTTCCTTAGTCAAGTAGAGACTAAGGGTGAAAGGTAAAGCCAAACATTCCCTCCCAGATCATAGCTTGGTCTCCCACCTGGAGGAACTGGGCTGATGAATACAGGTAGCTTGTTGGCAAACAGGTTGAGATGTGGAAAAATTGATACCTTGGGATGAAGTGACCATCTTTTAATCATCCTGCCATAGCCTTGATAATGTCCTTTTCTGAAGATGGCATGCATAAGTTGAATTGATGAAGATGTGGTGACATCCACAATGAAGTGATCCACATGAATGTCTCAGATTCTGTATGAGGCAATCTGTAAGTATGTTTAACCTGTCCCTTGATGCTGTATGTTACCACTTCAGTATTGTCTGTCCCAGTTAACATAGAAGAGTGGTGTAGCTTAACTTGCCATGCATTGATAGCTTGGAATATACTTGTCATCTCCAGATATGCTTCTTCCTGTCCTGAACCATCCCTCACTTAAAAAGTCTGTACAAGGTTGATGATGTGGCCTGGGAAGTATGAGAGGTATTCCTGACTTCTGATTATCAACTTGAGTCGTCTAATTCTAGTTCTCTAGTTGTGTTTATCCAAGCTTGTGAAAGACATAACTGCATCCTTTGCAAACTGATTTTGGACAGATGTAAATGTCTAGGAATCCTTAGATAAGATGAAATCATCCTCCGTGTACATGATCTAGTCCCTTCTAAATTCATGGGTTGAACCATTCCAGATACAAGAATAGCTGAATGAAGAAGACTGGTTTTTTACTTGTTCTGATTGACTGATTAGAGGTTATCCATGCATCTGTGCAACCTTCCTTCCTTCCTAACTTTAGATAAGCACCAAAGATCCAAGGAGTGACTGGCATGCAAACTGTTAGTACACTAAACTCAAAGCCCCTGCTCATTGACGCGGGTTAATTATAGATAAGTTGGGTTTTTTCTTTTATTTACCATTTTTTTCACTTGTTTATAGGTACAGTACATGTGGTCAATGTATGACATTGATACAATTGGTACAATTGTGCTGACATACAAATATACAAAGGCAATCAATGATATTTCTATAGAAAAAAGTCTGCAAATGCCATCAGATACAACATAACTTCATAGTGTGTGTGTGCGTGCGTGTGTGTGTGCGTGATATGCATTCAATTTGTATCTATATGAAATAAGGATGACATAGACAAAATTATTCATCCCTCTTCTTATAGTGCTGGAAGAGTGTATGTAGAGATGACCAAAAGAAGAAAAATTTGTCAACACCACAAGAGGAGGAATAAACATATCTTGTAATGTCATAATACTTAATTATCTCCCTTTTCACATGACTGATAAAGGGTACAGTTAAATTTCTGCTGTGTCTAAAGATAATTTGCTTCACAACAAGTCTTATGGCATTAATTGGATCATTATTTTTCCCTTTAATTCCAAGTAAAACATTCTGTTTTGTGAAATATAACGGAATATTCAAGTCAGTTAAGAGCCATGACTGGAGGTTTTTCCAGATATCTTGAACAATTTCACAGTCCCAAAATAGATGGGTAATTGATTCAATGTTATATTTACAGAAACTACAAATGGGAGAGTCTATATACTTGATGTTAAACAAAAACTGTTTTGTAGGTAGAATATTATGGATAATTCTGTATTGTAACCATCTTAGATCAGTGCTATAGGTGCACTTCCATGGAATAATAATAAATATTTCCCAGTCCTTTGGTAG